TAGTTTGTTGTGTATTTTAGGTGCATTATATTTTCAATCGGTTTATGTTATATCACTGAGACCCTTCTAATATTTTAAATTGTGTGTAACAAGTTTAACATGCAAAATAAATGCATTTTCCTGATTTCAGTGTCTGTGTTTATATTCTGGCTATATCGTTATCAATTAGCGGTAAGAATCAGCTTATTATGCTTATATCTTAATTCTTTGTATATTTCAAATTTACATTGTGACTCATAGGTTACGACATTATACAAACATAATTGATGCCATTTTACCACAAAACAATCCTATATATTAACAAATGCACAATGAGCAACATTACCATTAAAACAGCAGTTAGGGCTATCGATTCTATCTGTTATTGTGCCTAGTTATATTCCATTTTTGGAGTGTCTGCGTCCGCCGCCAAAACTCTCATTTTGGAGGGTTGAATAAAAGTTTAAAAACTCAGATTTTGGAGTTTTCGCGTATAGTGGCAAAACCTCCGGTTGTATAAAAGTTTTATTATTTATTACTCCGATTTTGGAGTTTTTGTGTATAGTACGCAAAACCTCCGAAATCGGAGGGTTGAATAAAAGTTTCGATTTTGGAGTTTCGTATAGTATACTCAAAACTTCCCAAATCTGAGGGTTGGTTGATTAAAAGTTTTGCTCTATGTAGAGAGAACTTGTTTAATTAAAAGTAATAATAATAGTACACAGAGCTCCGAAATCGGAGCTTAGATTAAAAGTTTGAAACTCCGATTTCAGAGTTTTCGCGTATAGTACGCGAAACCTGAGTTTTGGCAGCGGGCAAAGATACTACATACCTCAAATGCATCGACATAGTAATAGCCACTGCAGCTACTCTATAGACGGTTAGGCCTATTTCCCGAAATATTTTGATGACTAGATATATTAAATAGATACGGTACGCGTACTTCTTTCAGGATTGAAGCTCCAAGAAAGACCTTATCGTCTCATGTATTCGTGTTAAATTGTACAGTAATTGTTTTTACAATATGTTGTATATAATAGTAATGTGCATATACGGTATATATATACTGTCTCTTATACACATCTAGATGTGTATAAGAGACAGGTCATGGCCTATTCAAATATTCTTTATTTCGCATAGGATCTCAATTCACTAAATTGCTTCAATGGGACAGATGGTATTGGAGGTAGGTGCTTTGTATTATCATTGTTATTATTATTATTATTATTATTATTATTATTATTATTGTCTACCTGTATCGCTTGCTGCATGTAGGGTAAATGCATCTCCATTTATTTATATGTATAGGCACATGCATACAATAATATATAACCCTATAAGAAATGAAAAGTGCATCAATGGCGTGAAATGAGATTAAGATTATTTCTTCCTTTTTGTTTATTTATTGAAATCGTGATACTCCTCGCCACATACCAATCGTCAATGAGGAAGGACTAGTGTTGTCCGTATTATTATTTTTATTATTATTATTATTATTATTAGGCCTATTATTATTAGGGCAGCCTAGTATTATTAATTATGATATTGAATTGGAATAATGTCATCATATTTATCATAATTATTGGCAGGCCTTACCTAATTATTATTGAGGGTATTATTACTATGACGTCATCTTTAGTATTTCTATCGTTCTCAATCACTTGCCATCTATTACCCAATAATCGGTCTTATTTTACATCTCGTATTAGACCTCTGTGCCCAGCTGCAGGAATTGATAAAGTGCATAATGACTGCCCGCCATCGTCGAGGCAGTATCGAGCCATTGACGGATCCTGCAACAATGATTTCAAAATTAACTGGGGGAAGACAAATACGCCATTGGAAAGGATGAGCCCTGCCAACTTCTCAGACGGTAAACGAAAAATACTGTAACGATATTGTTCATAATATAAGCGGCTATTTGCCGAGTTCGACTTTTTTCATGATCCAAAATTTTTCTATTGTGATTGTCTGTAATTATACTGCACGTACCACAGCGCACTTGCTAATATTTCAAACATAACACATGTTCAAAGCTTTGATTATTATTATTATTATTATTATTATTATTATTATTATTATTATTATTATTATTCCATTTTAGTGCTGACCACCTGTCGGGGTATTTTCGTACTGTGGTGGTGTGCGAAGTAGGTGTAAGTTTTTAGAATTCAAGACTTATTTTATTTCATTTATTTATTTTTTTATTTAGTTTATTATTATTATTATTATTATTATTATTATTATTATTATTATTATTATTATTATTATTATAAATTAATTAATAAGGTTTATAATGTGGGGTTATATTCGTCAGGTCGTTCCATCCCGCGCGTGTCACACGACGGTTCTCCTCTACCTAATCCGCGCCAAATAAGCTTGCTGATGATGGCTGAAGACGATAATAAGTATCACAAATTAAATAAAGGTCTGACGTCATTTGTGATGGACTTTGGTCAATTTTTGATTCATGATATCAGCCATTCACCGGTAGAAGGTAGGATATTCAAAGAGTTAATAAACTTTCTTATAATGTTTGAATATTTTGTCTAGAAACTAACGCTTACAAGGCGAATAAATTGAATTTGTCGTCGTTATTTGCGCCACAAGGCAAACGTACAGTAGACTACTGGTATGACATCCCCATGCATAAGCGAAAGGTCCCGGAGTTCAAGTTACGATGATGATGAGGGGTTTAACTTATTTGAAATTTTTATTCACTGTTGACACTAACGGGCTTCCGTAGTTTCCTACTGGTTTTTCTACTTATTAATAAAATTAGGGCCAGCTCTGTTATGCTTCTTATGTCATTTGTAAGCCTTTGCCTGTGTATTCTGCCTGTAAAAGAAGTAATTAGAATAGACAATAATTAATCATTACATTTATTTTTAGCCGATTTGTGTAGGAACTGCTCAACCAGTAACACTTGCCTCGTAATACCAGTAGCTGAAAATGATCCGAGTTTTTCAGACTGTATTCGATTCAGACGATCGAAACATGGACCATCAAAAGACTGCGAAGAGCAACCATGGCAACCGCTGAACACAATCACGTCATTCATTGATATGTCTCATGTGTATGGCAATAATGATTTCAGAGCTAACGAACTTCGTGACAGGTCTCATGGTACGGTAATTAATATATGAATTATTAGAATTATTGTTTCAATACAGTATTTATCCCTACTCATCTCTAACCATCTGGTTCTGTAACTGTGGCTACCTGTATTGCTTGCTGCATGTAGGGTAAATGCATCTCTATTTATATGTATAGGTACATGCATACAGTAATGTATAAGATATAAGAATTTGAAAGTGCATCAATGGTGTAAAATGAGATTAAGATTATTTCTTCCTTTTTGTTTATTTATTGAAAAAAATTATTATATATATATATATGTATATAATTTATAAATATCATATCTATATATATTATAG